CCTCTTACTAATTCTTAAAGTGTTTTTAGATGTGACAGAATTCTACTTCTAATTTTAGCAGTGTCAAAGGAAAACTCAGGTTGGAAGGGACCTCAGGAAATCATCTAGTCCAACCTCCAGCTTGAAGTAGCCTGTTTATGTCATCCCAATTAATCCTGAATTGCTAGGTACATCTCAATTTATTTTTTTTCCTAAGATCCCAGTTGATGCAGGCCTATTTGTGTAGGCTTATAATGGAAACAGTGCAGTGACGTGAAAATTACAGGTTTAATAAAAATCTCTGATAATTTGCTCTAAAACATAATCATGAACAAGCTGCTAACCTTGACTTTTGCTCTTGTGAAGTACGTTATTGTTTGAAAAGCAAAATGTAGTTGCTTTCTGTTCATAAAAAATGAGAGCATTAGTCTGGTTATGTTCCTCCCTAGTGTTCAAATGCTGTAACCTCTTGGCATTCATGCATTGCCTTAGGATAACTTGTAAAAACTCACAGTGTTTGATAGTGATTTTATATAGAAAAATACAGTCGTGTGTTTTAATAATTAAAATAAGTTCATAGTGGAAAATTCAGATTTTCTTGGAGATATGGTTTGACAGCTGTTCCCTGCTGTATAGGGCAGATAGGTAACACTTGCTTTTGAAATAGGCACATTTTCCTAGTAGTGAGTGGAACAATGTGGGTTTTTTTCTCTTTAATGTCCTGCTCCTCTGCCTGCTATGTTTTAATAGTACCAAGTTCTTTCTTTATCCTTTTATGGGATGGGTGAACTCTTGGTAAATCCCTCTGAAATGAATCTGTTTGCTTTTTTAGGGATGCCAGCCCTTCTCTTAAAAGGGAACTAGGACGTCTAGAATTTGCTTTACATGAAGTTTATGACGGAAAATTTCTTTCTGTGGGTTTCATAGATTCTTTTAACCACAGATTAGCAAGCTGAAATGGTGAAAAACATAGTAAATGTTGCTCTAAAATGACACTTCTAAATTAGTTTCCACCCTCCTCCTTTCAGGGACATTTTTCCACTTTTTCAATTCGGGAGTCGCTATAGGAGACAAACTCCTCCAGTGACTTAAAATTGCCTGCAGATGGAAAAATATGTGATTGATTTAACATGGATTTGAGCTAGGAGGCAGTGTTTCTTTATTATGAAGATACTGATGGTGGTTTTCACTAGAACACTTTATTCAGTGTAAACTAAAAGTTATGAAAGGTATTCTGAACACTGGGTTACTTAATTTTCAAGAAGAGTTAAATAGGTAAAACACTCCATGTGCTGTGCTCCCAAACAAAAGCGAGTTTTTTCTTTGGTAGTTGTCAGATAGTTTCCCTGTATCCTCTGCTTCTATGCATACCTTTTCATGGACTTAAATTTGCTCATTAACCATTAGAATGCTTCTGTGGCTTATTTGTTCTGATTTAAACTAGATCTTTCAACCATGCAAAAGTGTCTTCTGTGAGGAGAAGAAAAATACTTTTGTTTTCTCCCCCTGTTGCTGATTGTTTACATGAATATCCCATGAGTATGCCCAGGCATGGAAGTCATTGCGTATTCTTCATCCTCTGTGCCATATATTATCATATATTATCAAGCTGTACCCCGTAACGTGTCTGCCTTACGTCTTCCCTGTGGAACCAGTGGTCGCTGTATCTGGGCTCTCTTGCAGTTGTTGGATGTCAGAATAGACGTGTTATCAATGAATTATTTTCCCCCTTTAGCTCAAGGCAAAATATCTGACTTGCAAATACAGAAGACCCTGTGCTGAAAGGGGAAAACATTCTTTCTGTGAGGGACATCCCAGTCTATGATGCCACCTGAAAAGCTTTGTTGAAAGACTCCTGGGTGTCCCAGTCCTTTGGATTTCTTGGGTGCTCTCTTGGCCAACTCCTGCACATCTATTTGCAAGGCACAGAGCTGCAATGGGCAATGTATGCTGTCATTTGCATAGACAGTTGGAATGTTTGCTGCTTGAAATACATCATCTACAAAAGCATTTCTAAAATACCTGCTAGATGTTTTGATAACTTCCTTTTTCTTTTCCAGGCCTCCAGTAGCGCAGGGAATCTGGGTGTGCTTATTCCTGTTATTGCTGTGGTGAGTATCCAATGGGTTGTTGCAAACAGAATCATTTTTTTTCTCACATATGTCAAATGTAGGTGTTATTTCATGGTCACATGGTTTGAATAACAAGAAGTGCAAAAGTAAGCATCCAAGAGAAAAACAAAAATATTGTAAAATAATATTTCTTGCCCTATGCGAGGGGAAAAATATTTGTTTAAGGATCACGTATCTCTTAATTAATATTTTATGATTGAGAGTTAGATTGTGGCTAGTCATAAATTCAAGAGATTCATGAACTAAATAATACTACAGGGAATATTTCTTTGAATAGCGTTTGGTGTGCAGTATAATAAACAGCATGTATGTGTGGCCTGAGGAGAAAAGTGAAAAATTAATGTTAATAGAAATAAATCTTAGTTTGGCAGCACAGTGAATCCTGCTTCTTAAAAATAAAAAACACAAAAAAACCCAAAAAAAACCCCACATTGAGAAAGGAGGGAGGAAGGGGAGGAAGTGTCTTGTGTCTTCTGAAACTAGAATTGGCTGTCATGCTGAAAGCATTTTATGAAATGTGCAAGGACACTAAGGTCCATTCCAGACTCATTTATTTTGTATATTTGGTTTTGGTCTCGGATGACAACTTTTTCAACTTTAATAAAGTATAACTAAACCAGGACACTAAGTCAGTCAAAAATGGGTGTGTAACCATTCTAGATCTCCAACAGAAAATTTGATATGTCCGAGCTGGGTTTCTAAGCCAGTAGGACTAGTTGCCACAGCATCTACAAGAAATACGTTAAAGGTCCACAGACAAACTTAAACTTACTGGACAACAAAAAACCATCATGTCACTTTTGCCCCTTCTGAAGTTGAATTCTTCTATGGAACTTCTCCTGTACGGGTAGTGGGACAGAAGGGGAAAATGTATTACATACTTGCAATAGGCATGCCTGCTTGCAACTTGCTCATGCTGCACATTTATTAATAAGCAGAAAAAAACCCACTCATTTCATACTCTGCCCTCACAAAACTCTTTACTGAAGCTTTTCAAAGAGAAGAGCCTAAAATTAGCACCGGTTAAAGATCAAAGAACTGTTCGTTTCCTCCCACTGTCTCTTCCAGCAATTTCCAACATAATCTCCTCTGGAATTCACCAGCGATCACAAGGGCCAGATCCTATAGCTTTACACAGTTGTGTTTATAAATGGCTTGAATGGCTATTACTCAATAGGTGCTGGGTTTTTGCATGAACATCATGAGAGATATGTTCTAGTGGGTAGTATCTTTCAGTAATGCCAGCACTGATTAGAGTGAAAGCAAGATCATACCTTGTATATTGAGAGAAGATTTGTGCTTGTTAGAGACTTAGTGTAAAAGTTATGGAAGTACTTTTCTAGTTCAAATTTTTATAGATGATATATTTGTTCTGAATAGCTGGTGATAACTGCATTTTTCATAACCAATGTGACCTTTAAATGGAGTCAGAGAGTGCCAGAATCTGAAGCAAGAGTTAATGGTTACATTATGGTTGTTGAAGCAAATATTTGACTTTCTTGCACAATGTATGAACATCATGAGTTTTGAGTAGTACCTGATTTGCTTTTCTGCTTGAACTCTTTCCCCTGAATAATTTCTTTTACTTAGGTCCCAAAACCTTTCAGATCTCATTTAATCATTGATAAACTAATTAAATCCGGGGCCGGCATATTTAATCTTTTGAATATGCTTGTGTTTTTAAATACAGATGAAACAATAAAATGTGTCTATGAACGTTAATGATTTGTTGTGAACCTTCAATAGAGGATATTGTCCCAGAGATGGTGGGTTTACAAGTAAGCACAATGTGAGACAAGAACAGAGAAACACATGAGCTTTCTATTCAATATCAGCTCGTCATCATCTAATACTGATATTTCACTGGTTGTCATGTTAAAAAGTTTTGTGTATGGGGCAAATAATTGTAGTGGATGCAAAATTACAAATGGCAGCATATAAAAACCAAATGAATTCAAGAACTTAATATTAGAAAGCACCTTTTAAAGATAATTTAGAATCCTTAAAATTGTTGGTTTATAGCTTAATTTGTATATTTTTACTAACATAAGACCAATTTATAATATGAATATATTTATAGGGATCCAATATTTGATACAGCAAATAATAATAAAAATACCCTCACTAGATTGTGAGGCACTTTTTTTTTTTAAAGCCATGATGCGAAGGAAGGTATGCAAAGGTGAGTTATTTTCATTGGCTTTAACAATTTAAATGTAAGATGCAACTCTTCCTTCTATGGGGTAGGTAGTAATATACTACAGTGCAGGTAAATTTTCACTTTTTCAAACGTGAAACAGGTATTTGTACTGCATTCATGTTGTTACCAGAATGATTCAGAAACTTTATAGTGTTAAGTTTGACTTGAAAGGTGTTGTCTATTGAATCAAGTATCAAGAGTGTATTTGAATTATTAACAAATGTTGCAATTGCTATAAATCACACTATTTTATAGAGAGGGTTAGATGGTACTGAGCCTGTGAAAAGGTGTTTTATTAGTTGCTCTCACTCTAAAAGTTATTCTAAGCTCTTTATGTAATTTACCTGGCCTAATTCTGATACCGCTTGTACTTGTGAAGATGAGAGAACTATATTAAAACCATACAAGTTAGGTTAGAGAAAAGTAGTGGTTCCATTAGCATTTCATTTCTCCAAGACATGCATATCTCCTCTTATTTGGTACACTTGTCCATAAGGTTCATGGTGTGTAAATCTGCTGAATGTTAAATGATGCAAGCAAGTGAAAGAATAGAGACACCTACTCTCTTTCAAGTTAGTTTATCTAAAATACCCTGGACAGACTTCAGCTTCTATGACTGGTTAGGTATTCAGGATTTCCTTATTCCTATTTATTATAAATAGCACAAACTTAGAGCTAAACTTCGAGAATCTAGATAGTCTAAATATTTTATTGATTACATTTTATACACTGAAGTAGAACACAAAGTGTACGTTACTTTGTGATTTTTTTTTTTTAATACACTTGTATTGATACATGGCAGTAACCATTTTAAATTGCAGTCAAATTATCTACTATTGGACTGCTATGAGTCCATTCATGTGAAACTACCTGTAGGTAATATATTTTCTTTTGATACTAGTGGCTTTTGTATTAGCTAATACGACAATAAAATTTCCTTTATGTTACTGGTATATTAATATGTAATTATACAGCCCATGTATAACAGTGTGTTGGAGGTCTTCTCTGCTTTTAAGACTTGGCTGGGTTGACAACTCTACCCATGAACAGAAGGCAACTGGTACGATGTTCATAGATCATAAACAAAAAGGGGCGGTCGACAATAAAGCGAATCTGAGTAGAAAGAGGCATGAACCCGACATTGGTTATTGCTCCGGCCTCTGTGCCTTCCTCGTTCACAGTTATTGTGCCTTGATGATTGAACTGTTTAAACAAACAAAAAAAGGAAAACAAACAAAAAAGAAATTGAGGATCTGGTATGTATACGCAAACAATGTGCTCATAGCCTTCCCCCCCACCATGGGTTCTCCCAGGGCTCCCTGGTGACACTCTGGCTGGTAGCTCCTCTGCGGCTGCAATCCTTGGGTTTGGGTTTGTGAATAAGCCTGTTCCTCACTGACCGCAACACCTTTAGTGCCTTTGACATCTGATTGATCACGTTCCTCATTATATGAATAGACAAGGACATGCAGAGAAACCCACCTATCCCTCCTATGTCCTCAAGGAAAGATGAGAAAAAATATTATTTTAGCTTACTGTGAATTATTTTTTACTATGTTGCCGTGTTTTCAGGTGATACAGTCTAATCAGAAAGGAAATGAAAAGAGGAGAGGAGTAAATACCCTGTCAATGGTGATTTTCTCATCCGATATACCAGAGTAGTTGCCTTTTTCATTGAACAGTTCTTCTATTCCCATGGATCTCAGATAACCAATCAAGTTATAACTCTTCTCCAGCTTAAATTTAGGCAGAACCACTTCTCTTGTTCTAGTGAAAATAAAAACAAAAATGAAAAATCATTGAAGAAATACATACTTGCATGACTCCTTTGCTTTACATATGTGTTGTGGTTTGGGTTTTATTCTGTCTTCAGCAAGGACACAAATATACAGGACTGTTTACTGTACTTTGAGAATTTGGGCATCATTACTTTTAAGCTCTGTTTTAAAAAAATAATTCCCCTGCCAAAACTTTTAGTTTGTCAATTTAATACTTTGCTTATGATGATTTACATTATTTATGTATGTAAGATATATAGCTTTGAGCAGTTCAGTACATGTTTGGTTATGCTTGTAATAAATGTTGAACTGTCAGATTTTCTGGAGTACTAAATTGGAGATTTGTCACTTATTGGATACAATAGAAATAGGTTGGCTTCTTGAGTAGCACATCAGATCAACTCTTTGTTGATCGAGTCTGAAGACAGATACTACCTAGTCTGTCATCTTGCAGAAGAGACAATTTTGTCTGTCCTGTAATTGTGATGTCCGTTGTGGATTACTGAATGTGTGCCTTTACACAACAGGTATGTTGAAATACATAGTGCTGAAATGAACATAGGCTGCTTTCGATATCATCAAGGTTATTCTGCATAAATAACTTATTATCATATTGCTGGTTTTGCTCCTTATTGTAAACTTTATCAGTAAGAACTTTTTCTTTAAATGTACTACATTAAATACTTAACAGAAAGAATTTTGGAACTCCAGTAGAATCATCCTTGATTTCTTGCTGGCATTTAAATTTTGAGAGATAGCTGGTCCTGATTTTTGGTGCAATAAACCTATTTTTGGGGGGGGTTTGTTTAGGTTTAATGTTTTAATCAAAATAACCTGGTCTAGTGGGAGGGGTCCCTGCCCATGGCAGGGGTATTGGAAATAGATGATCTTTAAGGTCCCTTTCCACTTAAACCATTCTATGATTCTATGAAAATATCACATATTATCTTATGTGCTCTGTGCTCTTGCCAGTCTCATCAAGAAAATACATTAAGACTTTAACAATATGTACTTTGCAGCAGATACCTGTTTGTCATGCTCTTCTGCCATTTTTCCACCACTTGCGGTGTTATCTGCTTTTCTAGGGCTTTCATGCCCGAGAGTTTGTGCGGCAGTACAATCAGCATGCTGATGTTCCCCACAAATGGGAGCTGGATCACACCGCAGTCTAGCTCAGGGTCTGCAGCAGCTAGGAAGTTCCCTTTAGTCTGCATCATAGGAACCTTTATTGTTTGCTTCTCGTTCAGTCGGAAACTTCTCTTCGCTGTCATTTCCACTGGAAATTTATTCTCCCAAGTTCCTGTTAATACAGTGCAGAAGACAGATAAACAAAAAACCCCCAAGATCCTTGTTTAATAAAATTTCCACAATAGCAGTTTACATTAAGTTGTAATTGATATGAATTGGGAATTACTATATGAGATCGTTGATTTCAAATAAGCCTGGATAAGAATCATAGAATGGTTTAGGTTGGAAGATAAGTTCTAAAGGGGCTTTGAAATTCCTGGCTTGTTTTTTTTGTAACTTAACATTTGTCTGATTTGAATGTTCTGAATTACTAAAGCAGGTAAACAAAAACTGGAGATTTGAAAGGGCTTGGTGTGTATTATTTTTTTTCTACAAGGATCTTAGATATTACGGAGTTCAAACAGATGCAGAATGTTTGACAGGGCTTGCATACAGTGAAACAACTGACACAGCAGTATTTTCTGAGATCTGATGCTTGAAACCAGACCGTTTGAAGCATCAGAAATGGCAAGATCAAGTAATGGCTGGTTTTATTTTTGCATGCAAAATATTATGTTGAAGGCATTACCTTGACTCATTCCATTCAAGTTAGTTAACTTTCTGTGTTAAGACATCCGGAAGAGTTTGGGTGTTGACTGCTTAATTCTGTGATCCAGTTGCACACCTATGTCATCTGCCAGGTTTATGCCCAAAGAATACAGTTCAACCTATTTTGCAGCCCAGAAAACTTTACTATCAGGGATCAAATCTTTCTATGTGAAGATTCTTTGGGTATCCCGGATATTTATTGCCTGTGTAAAAGAAGGTGCTTTTTTTTCTTAAACAAACTTTCTATTAATCTCTTTTCAGAAACAAGGCTCTGGAAAAAAGATTTTTTTTTTTTTTTCTTAATGGACAGACAAAGCTAGAATTTTATAGTGGAGATAGGGTTGCTGGTATTCCCTGTTAAAACTGTGGATTTTGGGTTACTGTTGGCAACCAAGTGTCTGGGGAGTGTGGCTGTAACTGTGTGGAGAGACTACAAATGTAACCTTGATCAGTAACCTTTTTTAAGCTGCAAGTGATTCTGAGATCCTTAATCTGACTTTACCAAATTGACAGTGAAGTAACAAAAAAAAGCCTTAAGTCCCACTTTAATTCTAATAGTTTCTTCATGCGTCAGGCTGATGGGGAGCAATCTGAGATGCGATCAGACTGTGGTTAATATTCTGAAGGGAATGGGCTGTAAAATGGATTATGCTATTCCCAAACAAATTGTGTCACTCCTCAGGAAAAAGTAACATCTGGCTGTTCTTCAAGGAGCAGAATTCGCAGGCGTAGGACTCAAACTAGTGAAAGACATGAAGTTGCTGTGGGTCAGCAGAGCTTCAGCAGCACTGTCGTCTGCTGAGGAATGGAGACATTTATCAGCTCTTCCTGGTAAAAGAGAGGAGCTGAGGAACGTTTTTTCTTGAATTCACTTTTGAAATGTGTTTGTCTTGGGGTAAAATACTGTTCTCCAGCAAGGAGGCACATGATTTTCTGGGGTCAGCTGAAACCAGTTGGCACTTTGACTCTTGTGATTCTTGTTTTGAATCCTCCTACCAAGATGTCTTTTGGATCCATCTGTGGTTGCAGATAATGTTGTCTCCACTGATTGACTTATGTCTTGCATTTGTGACTAGAATCTCATAGAAGCCATTTTGGATCTGTCAAAATTTGTCAGTTAGATCTGTCAAAATTTGTCAGTTATCAAAAGCTGTCATGATCTGCAATGGCTAAAATAACTAGCTCCTACTTGATAGGGAGCTCAAAAATGATTGTTCAGACCTCTGCAGAATGGACGGTAGATCTCAGTTGGAGGTATACTGGACACCTCTACAAGGTAAAAATTGCTTCTTACCAATGTGAATAGTTTCCAATAGTTTCTTGATGGTATTTAATATAAAAGGAGCTTGAGACTTCATGGTGTTTGGAAAGTATCCCGTTACTGAGCATCTCTGTGTACCTGAGAATACTCGTAGGTTTCTTAGCTCTGAGAGCTTAACAGATCCTGTCTGCAATGATACAGACAGTGTAAATATTGTAAATGAAAAGATGTGGACAAAAGTTAGCATGTCTAGAAGGACTGGTGGGAAAACTAGGAAACCCAGGAGCAGAACTTGCTTTTGAAAAGTTCAGTTCCACTCGAAATAGAATTACCAGGAGACTGTCACTATAAGACCAAAGAATGGGAGACAGCAATATAGAATTGGTCTTTTTGGTTTTGGGGAATAGAAATGATGGTCTTCAGCAGACAGCACTGAGGCAATTTGGACTAACAGGACTCCATGGGGAGTCTTTTTGGTGTTGATGAATAAGATATCCAATACTAAAGCTATTTAATTTTTGGTGGTGTTTTTGTTATTTTGAGGTAGCACAAGTATTTAATAACTTCAGACTAAAACAAAAAGGTGTTTTTAATTTGATCAAATTGTGGAAAAAACAATTTATCTGTTTCACTTTGTGTAATCATTTTTTTAGGTGTCAAGGTCAGTAAAGCCATGTATTTAATATGATATGACCACCGGAGATGTACTTAAAGATACAAACAAGTCTCTTTTGGATGGTACTTCAGAATAGGGGATTAATGACTGCTTCAGATCTTTTAAAAGAGACAAGTGGCATTATTCAAGGAAGTAATGCCTTGCAAGTGAGTGGGAAAAGGTATTCTTTAACTGTTAAGCCTGTGATAGTGATACAGTAGGAGCCCACATCAGCAAATAGTTGATGCTGAATTTAATGAAATACTCCAAATAGTAAATATGTTTGTTTTTTAGTTTTAGAAGAACACTGTTTTTGTTCTCTTCAGTCTCCCGTATAGGCTTGTTGACAAGGATCATGCTCTGATCATGTAAAAAATACATACTTTAAGTTGAAATTCTTTATAATCATTCCTATGAATTCTGAATGTTTCAGAAATGTTAAGTGTTTTAACTGAAGTCACCCTGTAGAATTTCAGTGAAGCTGGTAATTGAAGCAGGACTGAATGTAACTTGCATGTGAAGTAATACCTCTCTGTCTAAGAATGCTACAAAGCTTATGCTTTCTAAGGCTATTCTGCATTCATATATTGTCTTTCAGTCTCACTTTTAGACTATAAGGTTTTGAATGTAATAAGCATTTGCTGTATTTGTACAATACCTGCTAACTTCAGGGCATGACTGGAACATCAGTGTGCTGCAGAAACATGCAAAAATGGGCTAACAATAGATATTATTCTTAATGAGGCAGTGGGTAAGCCTTTTTTGAACTGTAGACTAGATTTAAGTTCAGTCTGGAATTTCTAATGAAATATGCAGTGAATTGCAAACTGAGAAGATCCTGAGCTAACACTGAAATAACAGATTCTTACCTTTAAAGTAAAGACAGTTAAGAATCATCATCAGTGTTGTAGGGTTTACGTTCACAAGAGCTTCCCTTATTAATCCTTTGGTCAGCTTCAAGATGCGTTCGTTGGTTTTAGTTATGAAGTTAGGATCCAAAAAATCAGCTGGTTGGGCATCAGCAAAGTAGTATGTTTTCATATTGTTTCTGAAATCATTCAGAATAGAAAAGTCCTTCTGAATATAAAGGTCATTGACAGACCTCAGTGTATAACCAAAATTGCGCCTGAATAGCCGATGAGTGAGTTTGCGGAAGAGATTATGAACAGTCATGAGCTCATATTTGGTGCTGGCATTAATAAAATCTTGAAAGCCAAGAACGGACAACACTTCCTGATGAGTCTGACCCTTCAGACCCAGAGAAATCATAGCCATTGCAGTGGAAATGCCAACAGGAGCCATGAGAATATTATCTGAAGAGTTGGCTTTGTCTGCCACACTGCGGTAAAGGTTGAAGCCAAAGTTGGCATTGAGGATGTTGAGTCGCTGGATTCTGGTTTTGCCTTGGAATAGTTCAAGAATATTTCCTTGCTGAATTTCAGAAACCATGTATGGGCCAGCATCAATAATGTCACTGTAGTCATCTTCACCCAATATCTTGTCAAGGTCGAGATAGTCCTCCTCTTCCTCCTCTTCAGGAATCAAGTCATTAGTGATAGTGTTCTCTCTGTGGAACTCAGGTGGTAAGTTTGGCATATCATAAGTCCCATTTTCATGTGGCTGTGCATCTTTAAGGCTTTCAAAATGCTCAGTGAAGTCCTTGACTCCACAAAATGTGGAGGTTATTATGAGAGCAAGGACAAGCATATGAAGTAGGAGCTTCATTCTGGCAGGTCAAAACCTGGAAGACAACATAATACAATTGAAAGAGCATAGGGAACTGAATTTTAGTTTTCTGTAATTTTAGGTCCATGCTGAACTCTATTACAGCACAAGGTCTATGATACCTTATTGAACTGCATTTTTTTTTTTTTTTTCAGTGGAACAGAGCTTAATTAGGTGGATACATCTGTTTTACTGGTAATTGGTTTTGCTTACATAATGCCTCCAGCCTGCCACAGAATTGGTTGACCTCCTCCCGTGGAAGTTGGTCGTTATCGGCGTATTTTATCAGTAACAAACTCGTTACCTAAAATACATGGGACTCTTTATTTATAAACCTATAACACTTAAAAGTGTGTGCTAACTGTGTTATTAGCATATGCTGAAAACATGACATGAAAAAAGTTTGAAGATTCAAGCTTGGTAGGAGGAGGGACTAGGCATCCACTAAGGGGCCATACCAGAAGGCTGAGATGTACTGAAGAATTTGAAAAACAGACGTTCTGTAGCTACAACAAAAAAAAATGGGAGTATTTAAGGAAGCGCAAAGCTGAAATTTGTTGGAATAAAGGAGACCTAGGGATTTAGTGATTAAAATGGAGAAAGATACACGTTTGCACTAAATACCATCAGTGGGACTACACTGTTAAAACATAAATCTTACTACAGCATTGATTAAAATGTTCTTTAAATTAGCAATTAGTCCAAAGAGCTGTTCTGTAGAAATAAAATATATAGATATACATACCTGTACGTCTGTGAATAAACCAGTGCCTGAAGTATTTTCAAACATGCTGTAGCAGGACTGAAGTAATTGAGCTAACAGTTTAATTTTTGAAACTCTCCCCCTGGACTATTTAGCCTGAAATCCTAAAAGCATTTAAGGTGATTATCCCATCCAAAAAATTACTATTTTTGCAACAATGACGGATCCACAGAAGACGCTTTTAAAATGGTTTTTGCACTGTGACTGAAGTGCTTGAGTCAATCTTTTTTTACTCATAAATAAAATTCATTCATAAATTCATTGCCTTTTTTCCCCCAGAAGTCAGGCCCTTAGGGCTGAAATACTCTGTCCAGTAACTATTGATAAATGTTTTCTTCTTTTGGCACAGAAGACTTTGCTGTCTGTAGTTCCCAACTTTACAGTTTTGTCTTCACTAAAGTTTAATTATCGTTTAGATGCACTTACGCAGGTGAAACATTCCCCGGCTCTGCAATGTGTGTCTCTCTGGTCCGATCAACCTAAAATAAGAGATGGAAATGAAGCTTACCTTTAAGCCACTGTGCAGAAGGGATGTGTTGAATAGCTCAAGTAAGGGGACTGGCAGGGTTTAAATCTGAACTTTGATGCTAGTTTTTTGTGAGTCTCCCAAAGTAAACATTCTCTAAACCAAACACTGCTAAACTTACTTCGTCAGCCAAAATCCCTCCCTTGCCTAGTGATCTCTGCTGAATTGTATGTTGTTTGTTGAACTACTTTTATGGCTTTGCAGGTACTTGTTTGCTTTTGAGGAAGATATTGCAAAAATTGGTCTGCATGTAAAGTTTCAAAGTCAAACATGCACATAAACTTCACTGTTCATGACTAGTAAAAGCCATGCGGCTTGTATTTTGTGGGGGATTTGTGCAGATGTGGTTGGGGCTGCTGTGTCTGTGATGGTCAGTGTTCTTTAGTCAGTGTTTTGCTGCTGCAGCTCTTGGCGTTACACAGGCAGCTTTCTACCAAAGTGCCATTCACCAGATTAAACTCAGATTAATTTTACTATATTTTTTTTTTATTGAACAATATTTACAAGTATGGCCAAAGTTGGCTTTATATAAGGTTTATGTAAGGTTTCACTGGAATGCTGTTGGCTTTCATGCCTCAAGAGAATTATTGTACAGGTAGGTAAAACTTCTTCAAGTTAGATTAGAATCTAACATTTTCATAATAAAGTTTACAGTAATAATAATATACATCATGTTGAATAAAGTTTGTGGTTTAATGGACCATTTCTTTGACTTTTTAAACACTGCCTGTGCTTCTAACACTACGTAGGATAACACGCTATGAGCTTTGGTAAATGCAATCGTGTTGGCTGGGAGCATGAACTGTGGTGCTCCAGTGATAGCAGCTGTTTGTGCAGAAGGTATCAGAGAATTTTAATAAATGTCTTGAAAATAATGCTCTTTTACTTGCTTGTTTAGATAGTAAATTCTCTAGAACTGATGTCATGGTGTGTGTGGGTGCAAGCAATGAAAGATCCCCAATTGGTGCCTCAGTGTATTTCCACAAAGCCAATAAACAATAGCAACCAGAAGTATGTTTGTCTAATATTTATTTGGTTTTGAGTTCCTTTGCACTGAAGCAAAGCTGCATGGCATTGTCTTCAACACAGTTTAAAGGACTGTGTGGTCACTTCCTCTCTGCAGTTGATCACATATTAATATTATGTATTCCCTTCAGAGGTTACTGTATCAGCATGGTATTATTCCTGTGTAAAACACAGGAAATTCTTACTTCAGGCATCTCAAACGTTAGCATTTCAGATATTCCAACAACATCTCATTTTCTTCAGTATAACAACAGCAATGCAATACTAGTTTTCATAAGTAACAATATTACCTTTTAAAATCATAGTAAGGAAGGTATGTTAATTGATTCCTTAGAATGGAATTAAGTTACTCTAACTCCCACCATTTTCTGATGTTAATTTTTATTTCTTTGATAGCTCACTAGACGCTTGCCCCCCATCAAGGAGGCCAAGCCCAGGCTGCAAAAGCTGTTCCGTGACTTCTGGTTGTATTCAGTGCTGATGGGATTTGCTGTGGAAGGATCAGGTAGTGTAAATTCTGAGACAGCAACATTGCTGCTCACATTTAAACTCTTAATGAATGTAAGTGTAACTATATGCAAACCGTTCACAGTAGGTGGAAGAAAAATTATGGGCATAAAGGCACTACAAAGCAAACAGCTTGCATGACAGTTCTCTGCTAGGATTTCTACACATTTTTGCTCTGTCTTGCTGTGAGATTCAGCACAGTGCAATTTGTTCTTGTACTTAATAGAGCAGGTAGCCTTAGTTAAGTATGAGTTTTTGTAGCGAAGTTCCTGAAATGGAAGATCAGACACATGGGGTACAATGGTAATTGGGTGGAAACTTCTTAGCCATTGAGAAACTTCGCTTGAAACTACCTAAACGTGTTTATTATGTTTGGAACATGCATCACTTGTGCTGAGTGTTTGTGCTTAAGTCCATGAAAAATTGTCCCCAGGAAGGAGTACAAAGCCTGATAATGCTAGTTAACTTTGAATCTTAATATTGTTTCCCAGCCCCACTTTCGTCTTTATACTTGTGCTCCAGGTCTCTGGCCAGAAGAATGGTATGAAGGCGTATGTGAAATTGCCACCAAGTCTCCATTACTCACATTTCCCAGCAAAGAACCACTTCGATCTGTTCTTCAGTACAATTCTGCCATGAAGAATGATACCGTGACTTCTGTAAGAATTAATTTTTTCTATTATCTCCTCCCATAATGTCTATCAGTGTTAAATGATACAGTAACCATGATTTATTGAAATAGCGCAATACCCTTTCAACCTGGTTCCTTTTAGGGAAAATCATCTTTTTTACATTACTCTTACGACAACAGTATGCATAATTTACTTGGGTTTAGTTTTATTGGGTTTAGTTTTATTGAGTGTTAACACAAGTGTTTAGGGTGGTAGCTGCGCTATTTTGATTAGGTGTAGAAACCAACTCTTTGTGGAGATGGAAGCCTTTTAATAGTTTTTCATCCATTTTGTATTAGATAGACAAAACTTGCACTGTTTAAAAAAACAAAACAACAAACTTTGGAAGGAAACAACACAATCTTTCAAAGAAATGTTAAGTGAGCTTTTTCCCTTTTTATCCTCTGGCTTGGTACTGGTATACATCTCTCTACCTAGTATTTGCAGGATAGATTTTTACCTGAGGACTGTTTGTGGTAGCAGTGTAAAGTGGACTGAAGAGTTGCAGCTTATGAAATGTCTTTGGCTCCTGAATAATGCATAGAATGGTTCAGGTTGGAAGGGACCTTAAAGACCATTGAGTTCCAACCCTCAAAATCTGCACTGTGCCTAGGTATTTAGTTCTGTGACATCAAAGAGTGGTACAAAAAACCCATGAAGCTTAAGAAGCTGGACGAAGTTGATGTTGATCAAAACTTTATGTGTTTAGTGTGGGAATTGTATTTCTTCATTGGTATAACTGCATGGAACCTAGCAGTTATTTCAGCAGGGAGCTCGACTCCAGTAACTAATTCTGTTTCATTCTGGATTTGAAGAATCATAACTTGCTGGGTCAGAGTAGGTTGGTCAGTCTGCAGACAGAGGCATTCTGGCATACTATCTGCAAAGGTTTAAAAGTAAAAACAGTAACAGCTGAAAGCAAATGTTCTTAGAACACACACTACTCCTACTTCAGATAACTTAATGTATTCATCTCTAGGCTGAATTAAATGAATTGCGGAGTACCATAATAAATCTCTTGGATCCTCCTCCGGAAGTGTCAGCGTTGATCAATAAGTTGGACTTTGCAATGTCTACCTATCTTCTTTCTGTTTACCGTCTAGAGTATATGAGGTATATATATATGTACTTTTTTCACTGATTAATTAAAAAAAAAATAATAATTAAAATTAAAAGCAGTTGTGGAATAATGGGTGGGGGTGACTTAAAATTTAAACTTTAGTGTTGTTCACATATTAAGGAACCGTGTAACATCAAAGGAATTTCCAGGATGTAGTACAGCTGTGGCTGGTATGCAAGGAATCCGTTCCACATTGTTCCCTGGATAAAATTGCTTGTGAAGCAGCACGGGGCGGGGGGTGGAACAGAGTGAAGACTCCATGGCCAGCCTCTGTGATATCACTACAGAGATCGGAGCTCTGACAATGATGAGAATCAGTATTTTGAGTCACGTTAGCTCTATTGAAGATTCTGAGACTGGGAATTCATGTCTGCAAAAATACCTGTAGGGTAGATAAAAAGGATGGAATAATATAGTAGGACTCCAAAAATGGAATCTTCTCTGTATACGAACAATAGAAGATGGACCAAAGGGTTCTTTAAAGGAATGTCTTGCAAGCATGGTGTTTCCTTTGCACAGTCTTGTGCTCTGAAGGATAGCATGGACACCTGCCTGTTCTCTGAAATTAGCGTAACGTAGGAGCTGAGAAATTTTTTTCTATAGTGTACTTTTTTCCCCCCTCAGTAGTTTGTATTAGGTTTTAGTAATCAAACATACTGAAAATAGGAAGAAACTTCTCCATCACATTTTTACTTTGACATTAGCTGACAACAGGGACAACCATTTCCAGAAACATCTTGGCTGTATTTTAGAAGCAATGTTTTAATAAGTGATATTTCAATCATATGCAAATTCAACAGAGGGAAAGCCTATAGAAGTGCCAAAGATTATACTGTATTTGTATGTTTGTGGTGATTGTAGAAGTGCATCATCATCAGGTTTCCCACTGCTGAGACGTGGAAGTTATTCTTTCAGTGACAAACAAGCATTTTAAGATGTGAGCCCTGTTAGTTGAATGTAGAAACAAATAGCAATATCGCACTTAGCAGAGACTAAAAATTATAATGAAATGGACAATTACTGTGTGTGTGTGGTGTGTACTGTGACATTGAAGTACATAGGTTTGTGTTGAAGACATTTAAAAGAAGAGGGAAAAAAAAAACCAACAACCCTAAAACAAAACACCAGAACAACCCAACCCACAACCTCTTCTTTTCCTAGGGTGTTGCGTTCAACTGACCAAGATCGTTTCCAAGTCATGTTTTGCTATTTTGAGGATAAGGCAATTCAAAAAGACAAATCTGGTAAGATTACCTGTCTAGGTTATCTTGCAACTTGAGATACTTATCTCCAGGCATGCAAAACTAATGTAAACAAAGAAACTATATAACAAAATATATCACGTTTACTAGATTTCTGTTGCTTTGTTCTTGTCAAGAATCCTGGTTTGGTTTTGAAACAGCTTAGTTCAGTGTTGACTGAATAAACAAACACTTTTTGGCTGTTAAACATAAAGCAGACATAATACTGATAATCAAACCTTCATTTCTCTCAATTCCTCAGGCATGATGCAGTGTGTGATAGCTGTTGCTGATAAGGTGTTTGAAGCTTTCCTGGCAATGATGGCTGATAAAGTAGGTACCATAGAAACGAAAATCTTAAATTTGTACAAGTGTTCTCATTTCAGTTTATGAAACTATACTTGTATTTTTCCCTTAAGAGCTTCATGCTTCTCTTTGGCATGCTTTTTAGCCTAAAACTAAGGAGAATGAAGAAGA